GTGTACTGGTCCACTACTGCAATCTCCTCGATCCCCCACTTCCATCTATGTTCTACTGGTTCCTCCTTGTTCTCGTTGCATACCATGACGGCACTCTTCTTAACGTTGGCAGACAATCTCCACTTATCAGTAAACTTCTTCGCCGCGTCAATTTGCAGTTGCAGTCCCTCAGGGGTGTCCGACATACCGACAAAATCATCCGCAAACAGCATTCCTGAAACCGACGTTTCCGTGTCCGCAAGGGGGGGGTTCTTTTTCCAACAAGCGCTTTTGTCGTGTTGGTGGTGGAGATCTCAAGCCCTCCCGTTAGAGGGATTTATTCATGTTAACGCACTACCGTACATGGCACAAGATAACACACCCCCTGGAACGATTTTCAAAGCTCGATTACTCCACGACCAAGAGGATGCATAAACGAAACGATACATTTTCGAAAAGCTCTTGAGACGGTTTTAACGCAGCCGTTTTCGGCGCTGTGACTGTTCCTGCAGTTGAGAAATCGAGCTTCGAAAATTGGTCAAGGGGGTGTGTTATCTTGTTTCATATACGGTATGCCGTAGTCGTTAGACCATTGACCTCGCACCCCGCACGGCTCCCAAGAGTGAAACGAGCGTACTCTGGTTCATTGCCAGCTGGTGGACTGACAGAAGCCAATTAGGCGCAGTCAGCGCTAGGTAAAGAACGGACAGATCGAAGTCACGCCCCTCCACCCTCACCCGCCGTAGATATTGGCTGCGCCCTCGGCCTTGCCCAACAGGGCGGCGTGGTAGCTGACCACCACCGTCTCCTCCTCGCCCAGCGCAGTGCCGCCGTCCCCGCCCATGCGGCCGCCGTCGTCATGGCGGTTCGCGTCAGGCCGGGAAAGCTTCTGGCACAGCTTCCGCAGGCGGTCGAGAGTCACCTCTCCCGCCTTCCTGCGGCAGTCTTGTAGCATTTCGTCGTAGACCGCCGCGGACGGCGACGTCGAGGATGGTGGCGACCCTTGTGGCGGTGCTGCCGCCGATGGCGGTTTCACGGGATCCAGTTGCTGCTCTCTTTGACGCGTGGAATCCACGATCCTTTGCATCTCGTCGACACAGGCCTGCCATCGTTTTGTGTTGAAGTTTTTTTTTTTTGTGCACCGATCGTATTGTGTTTTTTGGGTGCAGTTCGAGGGTGGGTGCACCAGGGATGGGACATCGAGCATGTTACTGCTGCCCCAGTCCTTGGACTCCAGTCATTTGGACTACATATACAATATGAGCCGTCTCGAGATCCGCCGTTTACAGCTCTACTGCAGTTGGTAGGTGGGAGATGCCTCGACGCTCGAGAGAGGAAGGCGCTCTTCGGCCTGCTGTTGTGGACAAACGAGGTCGTCGAAAAGCACGTGCTTGCGCCCGCTGGGCGGTGTCACATCTGGCAAGTTGAGATTTGTTCTGCGGGGCGACATTACATATACATAAGATGAACGCATAGACTATGCGGTGAAATCGCCCTTAGCACTGCTGCTGCGGTATGTATTACTATTAGGGGGACAGAAAAATCTCTAAGCAGCACGGCGGCGACTTCACAGCGCAAATTCATGTGCCCGAACGCAGTACCAAAAGTATAGGATGACACGTAGTAGGATTGTAGCGGTTGCCCTTACCACCATGCCCCCAGTCTTGCCCTCGGCAAGCTGAAGGTAAAACTGTTCGAACCTCTCTTCGAAAGTTGCCTCTAACAGGCCGCCGCTGCCGTCCTGCGCATGTGCCCCAGGCGCTGCCGGGTTCTCTTGCAGCACGTCCGTATCATCTGAGGGCGAACCATTTCCCTCTGCGTCGAAAGGCGCCTGCATGGGGCACGGCCTGCTGTGCAGCACCAGCCCGCTGTACACGGAGCCAGCCCGCAACCAGAACAAGGACACAGGACACCAGACAGCAGAACCGGAAGGGGCTTCTGAGGCTACCCTCCGTACCCGCGTATGATTTTACGGAGCCTCCTCCCACCGCTCTTGGGCGTGGTGGTTCCTACTGCTGTGTGCAACCTCTCAGCTCTTTTCCCCCTCAGCTCGGCAAGCGTAGCCCCCCTCTCCACCCCGGGGCGAGGCAGGTGATGTGTCGGAGCCGTCAGGGATCCAGGCGATTGCGGGCCAACACCGGTTTCAGCGTTTTAGGGCGCGACCCGCACACGAAGCAGCAGCTCGTTTTGACGAGAAAAGGAGAGAGCTACTAGCGAGGGCAGCAGCAGCGCTGTGGTGGTAGCTGCCATGTGGAACTTCTTCGGGAAGGGGTACAAGGAGGTCGCCGAGGAGGACGAGGACAATGATTTGTCGCTCGGGACCCGTCCCGTAGATATGACAACGCTGGACATAACGTACATCACACATCGTTTGCTCGGTGAGTGCTTGCAGCACTGCTGTGCTGCTGCTGCTGCTGCGGCTGCTGCGGTCTTCTGCAAACAGCTCCTGGGTTGGCGGAAAAGTACGCGCGTGTGCGTGTCCCCTTATTTTCGTGCTCTCGTTACCGAGCGCTGGCGTGTGGCACATCATGTAGGCCAACAAGGCGACCCCGAACGCCAGCATGTTTTTCCTCATGGCAGGCCGTGTTTGAAGTGGCACACCAGTAGCAGGTGTGTCTGTTTTTTGTTGACGCTCATAAAAAATTGGTTTACAGAACGGACTTTTTACGGCCCCTTCTCTTCTCCCGAGAGGGCCCATCATCCATGCGTCGACCGACAACTGCTGCCACCCTCTCGCACACAGGAACTCCGTTTTCTACTGCGTGCACCCCACCTCTCCAGGCTTATCTGGTTGGTGATTGCGATTATCCCCCTCTTGGTAGTGTTCATCATGGCACCATCACCCCCTTCTTGTTTACAGCAGTTGCCCCTGTTCTCGCCACAGGCCGTGAACCAAGCGGTGTGTGAGTGAGAAGGTCCCAAGGCTAACCAAGTACGGCAGACGCGTGCTGCCCTACCAGCCAAAGAGTCGCGGCCGTTCGTGTGTTGGTCCAGTGACTGCTGCCACCGCTGCACCACCCCCACTAGGGCTACTAGTGGAGGCTTCAGTACCAGCACATATGTTCGTGTAGTCTCGGACGGGACACAAACACAGCTGTTTTTGACTCTTCATCCCAATGCGTCTGGCCCCCTCTCGTCACGCTGCTGTAGGGCATGCAACCCCCCGTGGCGGGCGTGTTGTCACGCGTGCATAGCTGCGAAGATATGGTTGCGTCTGCGTGTCCGGTTCTCCAGAGGGCTATTTTGGTCTTGCTGTTAGACGCAGAGGTTCGACTCAAAAGAAAACGCACCTTTTGTTTGACACACAGCAGGCGGAGGCCTGCACCGCTACTCCTGTACACCCCACCGGCGGGGTGCGGTGCAACTGCTGCTGCTGTGTTGCGACCCTGGCCCGTGGGGCAACACGGGTCTCATGTCTTTTACGCGTGTTTCATTCACCCGGGGAAGTCTCGGGAGGACGCTGAGAGGCCGAAGGCAAACGCCAGCTCGTACACACTCGCCAAGCGCTTCGCATTTCATTTATAGTGGCAGCAGCAGTATAGTACTCGCGTCCGAGAGCGAATTTCTTTTCGTCGCCAACTAAATACGGCTTTTCAACGGCAGAGGGGGCGGGGTCACGGGCCCCTGTAATAATTGATCTGATTGGTTTGACCTCACTAACCCCATGAAGAAATAGCTCCTGTAACGAGATTGGTGATCTAGCGTTCCCACGGCACGAGCATTTAGAGTTTTTTGTCATGAAACACGAACAAATTCTAGTCGCGCTTCAGGGTCCAATAGGGACGGGGGCTCGATGATTGAATACTGCTTTGAACTTTGGAGTGCAAACTAGTACACATATTTCCATCGGCTTTCTATATTACTTATTGTGTCTTTGCTAAATAGTTGAGCCACGGTCTGACGACCTCGGAACAGAAAATGGGCTTGTTTTGGCCCTGCTTTCCTTCCTTCTTTCTTTCTTTCTTTCTTTCTTTCCTTCTCTCTCTCAACGAAACAAATTTAAATTTATGTCTATCCGTGGATAGATACGGACTCATATATTGGCGTTTTTTCATGTTTGTTGGGATGGCCTGCGATTTATTTCGGAAAAATCGCTGGTTTGCCTGGATAAATGAGGAACTGGAGGTACTAGGCACGGCTCCGGAGGTTGTTTTTGTGTCGAGACTGACCCTAAGGGCTCACCATTTGTTTCCTGTCTGTTCAGGGAGGGTTACAGCGGGTGCACCGGCATCGAACTAAAACTCCGCCGTAAAGCGAGCCTCGCTTTTTGTCGTCTCGACTCTCACGGCTTCAGCTCCGTTTGAAACTGTTTTTGTTGTGTAGACATAAGTCGCCGACGTGGCCACTCTTGTCGATGGCTCTAACCTCGCAATACAATACAATACAATACAATACAATACAATACAATACAATACAAATGGACGCCGTTTTTTGTTGAAATCGTTTTGCTCCTGGGGTTGCATGTGTGGTTGCTCCCCAACAGCAGATGTGATCCAAGTTTTGGTTAAATAGCGTACGTCATGTTCATTTACGTACGTCCTGGACCCACCCGAACAACGGCGCAGGGCTGTAGTCTTGCATCGATGCTCTCTTCCTCTTGCCGCTTTCGCCGTTCTCCTGGCCTATCCTCTCTGCAACATAAGTCGCTGCACAGGGTTGTGTTGCATAGGGTTGAAGCGAGTTATGTTGTAGTGAGGTTTGGGTCGCCTATGCAGCATCTCCTCGCACACGTGACGATACGCCTCGCTCTTCCCGTGCACCCTCTCGTTTCTTGTTGGCGTTTCGTTCTTGTGCCATCTTTTCCGTATCGATTGTGTTCTTTGACACCTATTACTGCGATAACAGCGATCGGCTGCCCGGTGGACGGCCCAAGCGACCGAGATGCGAACCGCAACAACATCGACGACCTTTCCAACTGGCTGGTCAACGACCACAAGGGGCACTTCCTGGTCTGGAACATTTCCGACCACCGCTCGGACAACGGCGGAGGACGCGGGGGCGGCGGCGGGAGGCAGCAGGCGGCCGGCACGCAGGTGTCTCGGAAGCTTCACCAGCGGCTGCAGGGGCAGGTCCTGGACATCCCGTGGGGCAGCCGGAACCGGCGTTGCTATGTGCCGTCCATCAGACATCTCCTGCGCGTCTGCTACTCGATCAAGGTGAGCGGTTTGAAGGGGGCATGGGAGCTGCCGTAGATGCCGTCCCGATGGTGTGAGTGCTGCAATCTGCATGCCCGTGTCATGGAGAAGAACTTTTATTACTTTTTTTTGGCTTTGCTTGATGCGTGATGAGCTACACAATTTTTTTTTGTCTGGTTCCGTTGGCAGCACGGCCCAGTGGCAATGGCTGCCTTCAGATCGTAAGCAGCGGCATTGCTCGCGCGCGACTACCGCCAGTTGCTCCTATTTTTTGCCGTCTCACTCGCGCAGAAACCGATGCTCCTACGGTACTTGCTGTTTCTGCCTTCCCGGCGTGCTTTGGCGCTTTCCTCCCGTCAGACTGGCGCGGTAGCCCTGAGGTTGTTCGACGTGAAATCGCTTCGCGCAGCATTACTTTTTTTTTTTTAGATCAACCCCGCCGCTGTGTGAGTTAGACGCTCATGTCCACGCACTCCACACACACCCCTCTTGTAGGGTTGCGAGGCCAATGGTCTGTAACGACTACGGCATGCGTTTACGTGAGAGCCCCCCCCCCCCACCCCTCGAAAACCCAATATCCGGGGCGGCCACTTCGATTGCGACAGGGCTGGCTCGACCTGGATCCGGAGAACATGGCTGCCGTGTTCTGCGCGAACGGCAAGGCGAGGACGTCGGTGCTCTTGGCGTGCTACCTGCGGTTCGAGGGGGAAGAGTCCACCGCCCTCGAGGCGTATCGTCGAGTGTGGGCGAAGCGAGACCCGGAGCAGAAGCCCGAGCAGGTATAGTTTACAGCCTCAAAGTGCCCTGTCGTGTTGTTTTGCTATTTCTCGTCGGTGTTTTTTTCGATTCTTGGAGCAGGAACCGAGCAAGTAGGCCAAATTCTGTTGTTGTTGGTTCTCATCGTTTTTTTTTTCGATGTTTCGAGCAAGGCAGGAATCCAAGGGGGTGCTGATGGAAAGCCATTTTGTTGTTCTTTTTTCCTTGTTTTTTTTGGCGTTTTTTCGAGCAAGACCCCAAGAATGCAGGAACCCGACCGCAGCTGAGCCGAACGTCGCAAAGGTCGTTGAGAGCTGAATATCGTATGGTGTCGTTCATCACCACAGCAGAACGCCCACGGGCCCAGCGGCCGGGCGTTATTCCTCAAGCGAGTCTTGGCGTGTATTAAGTGTATATGTGTGGGTGCTATTTTTGTTGTTTTCTCGTTTTAGACGGCATGTTAATGTTGGGTGAGTGCTCGATTGGGGCCAGGGGAGGCGAGGTCAATGGTGTACCATTACGGCATTCAAAAACATTACAACCCCCCCCCGCCGATTTGTGATCTTCTCTCCCCCCTTGCATCCATACGCACCCCAGGTTATCCTCCACACGCCCCGGAGCCTCTTCGCCCTCTTCGACAACTTCGACTGCTGCATACGGCTGGGCCGGCCGCCGCGAGGAGGGGCCGGGGGCGGCCTGCTGGTTGGGGTGGCGTTGAACGGCCTGCCTCTTGCGGAGCCCCCGGTGCTGGAGGTGTACGGACCGACGCAGCTGCTGTACTCGAGCACCCAGGAAGAAGAGGACAGTCACGTGGTAGGTGGCTGGTGTTTGGTCCGCGTCGTGGTGGCTCGCAGTAGTTTTGAGGCTGGCATGGCGGTGGTGGTAGGGGTATGTGGTCTAGCAGTGGTGAAGCCGCCGGTGGTGCGACGAATCTCGGGCTCTGCTCTGCACACGTTGGAGGCGCCTTCCCTGAACCCTTTGCCCCGCCCCCCACCCCGCGCGTTTTTATCAACAACAACAACAAAAAAAATCGCCACGGTAAACGGTTCACAGCTGTGGAACGAAGACCAAGGGTTCTTCAAGGTCAACAAGCCGCTCACGGGGGACTTCGTAGTGATCGCGCGGTTCAAGGGTACCGACGGGGCTGCAGAGACGGGGCCGGAGGGGGTCTTGTTTCGCTACTGCAACCACACGTGCTTCTTGCCGCAGGGGGAGCAGGTCGTTCTCCGGAAGTCTGAGGTGCGTGGTGTGTCCATCGCAAAGCACCCGTCTCGATTTTCTTGCCGAGGGTTTGAATAGCTCGGAGGCGTTCTTTCTTCACGGGGGTGGTATTGTTTACGTATCCGGGCGTGTCGGTAGACGTCCCTCTCGTTTTTTCTCTCCTTCCGAGCGCGCCGGACTCGTGTATATAGAAGAACAAGGCGGTGAAAGCCCTTCCATACCGCGGTAGGACTGCTGCTGTAGGCTCTCCCGTCTTTGTTGTCCTCGTGAGTGCTTGATTCGAGCGTTTGTACGAGCTCCCGAACGCGTAGGCATTGCGAAGCCCGCAATCTTTGTTCGTACCACACTGGAAGAATGCAGTGTATCCTTCTTTCTGCCTGTACATGGCAGTCAAGTCCCCAGCCCCCAGCCTTGCTTGCTGTCCAACCGTTGCCTCTCGAATTCGTGCTCCCCCGAGGTCATTCTTTGCTCGCGGCAAACGCGCGCGCGAGAACCCAAAAGTGCGGACGTGAGCGGGACGTCTGTGTGTCTACAAATAGACACCCGCCCCCGGCTCGTGAGTCTTGAAGACGAGAAATAAATGCGTGCTACATATGCCGTGTGTCTGTTTTCTTTTGACAGGTGGACGTGATGCCTAGCTACCGGGACCAGATCCCGGACGACGTGTTCAGCGTGTCCTTGGTCCTTGTGCCCGAAGAAGAAGAGGACGCCGGCTCGAGCTTCTCCTTCCAGGAGCAGGACCAGGTCAAGGTCGGGCCCGCCGCCACCCAGCAAGGTGCGAAGAGAGAGAGAGAGAGAGAGAGAGAGAGAGAGAGAGAGAGAGAGAGAGAGAGAGAG